TATATATATATATATAGGTATTTTTATAGCGCCATCAATTTACACAGCACTTTACATACTGCACATCAGTCCTTTCCCTCAAGAAGATTATGATCTATGGATCCTCTCTCTCATGCATACATATACTCACACACACACATACATACTAGGGATGCTTTAGACAGGAGCCAATTAACCAAAAGCTGGCCATACACCTTACAACCACCGCAAGACTTTTGTCTTGCAATGGTTGTAAGGTAATTTTAAAAAACGTAAAATGACTGCAATGCTGAACGGGCAGTGTGCGCTTGTGCCCTTGGGCCATTTGTCATATGGGAAGGCCACAAACCCGCCAACAATTGTACGATTCTTGGCGGGTTTTCGAGCCTGCAACAAAAGACGTGCGACCGCATAGTAGAAACAGTCGCACGCCTTCCATACACCTGCCGATTATCGTACGATCGCGGGATTTCCCACGATTATCGTACGATAATATCTTACAGTATGTCTTTGGAGTATGAGAGGAAACCCAAACAAGCACAGAGAGAACATGCAAATCCCATGCAGTGCCCTGGCCAGAATTTGAACCTGGGACCCCCAGTAACTAACCACCAAGCCACAGCACTGTAGGCAGCACCCACCATTGGCTTGTGATCACAGTGCAAGCAGAAAAGGGAGTATAACCAAACTCCAATATGTAGAAAAATCCAGTCAATAGTACTGCAGCACTTGTGAATTTATTTGAAGTCACACTTGCATCAGAATATGTACAACAGTTTCAGATCTGAAGGACCCTTCCTCAGGTACCATAAACATACTGCGCATGTGCTATAAAAAATGTCTAGAATGGTAGTAATGTAATATGCAACAAACATTTACTACAGGTGAATCACTTATATGTAATTTAAAACACATGTAACAGGAAGACATTAACAATTTTAATTACAAAAAGACATAGGGGTCTATTCACGAAGCTTCCGAAGGATCTGGCCGTAACTTCGGCCGATCATTCGGCTAGCTTCGGCCCCAGGACCCCTTTGGTTCAGTAGAACCGAAGGGGTGCTGTACAGGCTATTCACAATAGCCCGTACAGCTCCTGATCATGGCGGAGCGGCTCGGCCGAGCCGAATGTATATGCATCGGCTCAGCTGAGCCGTGCTGAAAGCCGAAGCTGGCCGAGCGGCTGTTCATTGGCCGGCCGACAGCCTGCTTCTGACGACTGGGCGGAGCCAGCCGTGATCTTGGAGATTTCGGCCGACCCGAAGCCACACGAAGCAAGCCGATGTACGGCTGATTTCAGCCGATGTACGGCTGAAATTAGCCGTACCAGCCTGAAGTGAATAGCCGAACATCGTTCTGCTCACTTCACTTCAGATCGGTCATTCACTCGGCTGCCCTCGGCAGCTTTGTGAATAGCCCCTACAGTATTGGACTATTTGATCCACTAATTGATCTGACTATCCTCATTTTGCAAAATATGCAGCACTTGTTCCATTTTGATTTACCTTCATTTGGTCCTAATTAAAGGAACCGTGATGAGCTAAACTCAAAGGATATGAATCATGTTATAACTTAACTAAATTAAATCTTTACTACTGTCTCTAAAACTTTTTACTACTGTCTCTAAAAGCAAAGGGCAGAAACCACGAGATGCCTGCCATTGCCATTATTAGCCATTTGATTTAGCTTGACTTTGTTACAGATATATCACTTCATGGCTAAACCCTGCCTACTGCCCTTCTATAGTATATGAAACTTCCCCAGGGGCCAGAAAGGGCATTCTGATTCGACAGGGGTTGGCAGGTGGTTTGCAATGACTTTGAAGAAAGTCATAATCCAGTAACAAAGTGAATCAGAGAGGCACACATATTATTTAGATTATTTAGATCTAGATAATAAAAGTAATGTCAGGCATCTTATAGTCCACTCATAACCTGGACTTTTTATTTTTATTATTTCAAAAGTTTAAATCTGAGTGTAGTTTTGCTATGTACCTATTTGTAACTATGTAATTTGCATTCAAACAATTTGTCCCTGTGGATGTGAACATCATAGACTTTGAGACAGAGGCATTCTGTGCTGAAATACAGAGGTGAAGTAGACTGACTGAGGAGTGGCTGGTTAAAAGCTGATTGTGAGTTTACAAGGATCTGGTAAGAGTTTCAGTGTATAGGAAAGGTGGGGCACTGTGTTTAGCTTGCTGGCTGGACACATTTTCACAGCTTGTATTACAAATACCTTAAGTGTATTTTAGTTTGTATTGTAAAAGTTTTGCTTGATACATTATATGCTATATATGTGTAAGGCCCCAAAAAATGCAAACAAAATCTGTACAATATTTAGGAAAAAATTAAATACTCACGAACTGGAAGTGTCTGAAAAATTTCTGTTTTACTATATTCCCCTTGTCCTTTTCCATTTACAGCAGCAACCCTGACTTCATATGTCATATTAGCTTCCAAATTGCTCAGGACAACAATTGCTATAACAAAATAAAATCATATTAAATAAATTACAATGTTTAAACCTACTTCCTAAAAACTGTGTTTTGATTAATTACAAATATTGTATCAAATGTAACTTTTAAAAGTATTAAAACAATGTAGGCTTATTTTAGTTAAGAAAAATAATTCTCTTATTTTCTTATTCTATATATTTTCTATATAGGAGCATTAAAAGGACCTGTCAGAATGGATGTGATCTGTCACATCTGAAGCTCCCGATCAGCAATGAATGCAGCCATTGCCATCAGTGATGCCACATTCCAAGGAAGATCAAACATTAGCAGCATACACAGTACTGTGATCGACTATGGAAGTAATGCTAGTTTTTAGGAATTTGGAAATAGCAGCTTCCGCTATAGGAAACCTAGAGACAATAAGATGGATAAAAGAAAGTGGGGGGGATTGGATGCAACAACAGCAAGAGCTTCAGCTCAATGCAAGTTACATTTTAAAATAGAAAAGGGGGGAAACAGATAAGAAAGGGAAAACATGTAGGCCCTCTCAGATTCCATATTGGTACTGTAATGCAGTGCAAATTGTAATCTGAGTGCATAAAACTACTATTTACTAGCTGTTCTGGCATAGGCAAATCACTGCCACTCTTACAGGTTCTATTTTACGATTGACGCTAAATAATGGTAATGACACTGAGACCAGAGCTGAATGATCCAGAACTGATGTCTTAGTCAACATACAGGGAGGAGTTGTTAGTGAGGAGATTGAGGATGGGATGGGAAGGGCTGGTTTAGGAAATACATTTAGGTTAACTTTAAATTGTAAATGGGTAAGGGCTTGTTCACGCCAAATGTGGACCAGATCTGCATGAGTTTCTGCACACGCAGTGCAGTGTGTTTTGCCACGTTCCGGGCCATTTTTGTAGCCTAAAATGGGCTTTCGGTGCATTCCAGGGCATTTGCATGCGTTTATGATGCGTTTGCATGCATTCCAGAGCAGGAAAAATAGGGCATGCTGCAGTTTTTTTCTAGATGCTCTGGAACTGAACGCAGCGGTGTGAACTAAAGGCCAAAATACAATTGGAATACATTGGATGCAGTTTTGATCTGTTCTGTAACTGCTCTGCTCCTGGAATGCGCTTTGGTGTGAACTAGCCCTTAGAAGATTGAAACCAGGTTGACCTCCTATCTTTTCTGAATATCAATTTTACATACCCAATTCACTGACATTTTTAGATACAAATTCATGTAATTCAAGACAAAAATAAAAACATCAGATTCTTGAATAAAGTTTAAACAAGATGCTGTAGCTCTGAGTGCCACAACGAGGATGCTGAACTTTAATATATAAATATTAATTCTCATTTGTACTCACTTTGAGTTCCATGCGAATGGACAACTTTCCAAATATCTGATGACACTTCTTTATAATCCATTTGGTAATGATGAATTGGCACTCCGCCATGTGAGTCTGGCTTGTTAAAAAATACTTTGGCATATGTCTGTGACAGCTCTATAACGCGCAAACCATGTGGACTGGAAGGTACATCTACAGCAAGCATAATAAACATACATTTATTAAAATATGAAAGTTACATTCAGGCAAATGTAGATTTTAAGAATTGTTTTTAAAATAACATATATAAATAAAGAAGTGCCCAGCTTGTTTGTGCACCTAAGCTGGAGAAAGCAACAAACCATTGGCTAATTATGGATTACAGCCAGTTAAAGTTTACAATTAATTCTAAAGATTTTCACTGAAAATAAACACACACAAAAAAATTCAAATTGAATGTATATTACATCGCCTTAACCTGTATCCAAAAACCCCAAACATTATAATTGTGTGCAACATGGGAATACAATAGACAAACGGCAGATACATGCATTGGCAACATATATCTGCTAATAAACTTTTATACAAATATGTTATCCACTGTGCAACTATGCAACACCTACCAGCCAGAGTTAGTATATATTCCTGGGTCTTTGATCCTATTGAATTGATGGCTGTACAGTTATATCGTCCAAAATCATTCTCTGATATTGGAGTTATCTTAAATTAAAAAAAAGAAAATATATTAGGATATAAATTGATATCAATATCTACATAAGTAAAAATTGGGTGAATATTGTTCATGAAGAAACCAATTATCAATTGAAAGTCTTACACACAGAAAAATAAATGTGGTCCTACACAGGCCTGGGCCAGACTAGTGCCGAGGTAAAAGAAGCACCCACCATGCAAGCTGTGCTGCAGGGGGCACAGTAGGCACGGGAGGCTTTCCTGTCTCAACATCACCCAGCAGTCTTCTGCACTGTGCAGAATTGAACTGTCAAACTGATAGCTCTGGCCCGTAGATTACATTGGGAGATCAGAGCTCTCCTTGTGGGAGACTGCAGGACTGCACTCTGCTGTGAGTGTGACAGCTGCCTGAGAAAACTCTGTATGCCCCTAAAAAAACAGAGCACAGTGCCCAGCTGTCACAGAGCTCTGATGATTACACAGGGAGAGCTGCATTCTCCAAGTAATCTGCAGGACTGAGCTATCCCTTTAAAAGTTTGAGTTCCCCTCTGCATTTATTTATTCATGAAAGACATGACTGTAGTTGTTTGTAGCACCATTTTTTTTTTTAAACTGCATTGTACCAAAACCATGATTCTAGTGCCTTTTAAAAAGGAAAAATCACATGTTAAAATGTATATCTATTCTTAATTAGTTTTGTTAACCCTAAAAAGTGCAGGTAGAAATTGGGTTAACCCTAATTATTTTTTTTACTCCTGTATTCCTTGGTTTTTATTTATATAAATTTTTTCTATATAAGCGTTTTAAATTGGTGTTCATTTGGTGTTCATTTTTGTAATGTCGAATTAAGCACTTGCCGCCCGTCTGTTGTGGCCATACTTTGATGGCATTTTTTTTCTTTTTGCGTGTGTCCCCTAATGATTATGAGCAGGACACTGTTAACATTTGTTATAGCCAGTGATGTCTGTTACATGTGTTCGGGTGGCTATACAGCTGCCTAATCGCTTGTATCTTCGATTGGAGGGAGATCACCACACTTCCACTGGCTGCTTTCCCATCTGATGTGCATTACATCACTTTTCAGTGTGTTATATCTCTTGCTGCTGTAGCCAGAGAAAAACCTTTTATGGAGATCCCTAGGTGACCATCTCATAGACCCCTGACATCTCCATAAAGAGTACCTGTCACTGTCACCTGTCATCTGTGCTAACACATAGGGGGCTTGTTAGCCCACTATGTGATAGCAACAAAGCTACATGTAAAAAAAGTTTAAAAAAAAATTAGCCCAAAAAATTAATTAACAACATTTTTTACATACATGTTCATACAAACAAACCTATGAGAAAAATGATAATTGCCCCACACTTGTTACATATCACAGCAAATGCTGGAGTGCAAGCAATAAGTCTAGGGCCATCACTGTTACCACTAAATTGATGAATGATAAAAGCGTCACCTATGGGCAATTTTAGGTATGATCGTTTTTTTGCGATTTCACAAGCACACACAATTTTATGGCTTGACATGTTTGGTATCTATTTACCCAACTTGACCACATCTTTGATATTTTACCAAAAATTGGCTAATAATAAATATGTCATAGTAGGGAACACTTTTTTCAAACTTTTTGGTAGTTTTTTGTTATAAAGTAAAAAATAAAAAAGTGGTGATTAAATACCACCAAAAGAAAGCTCTACCTGGAGTTGTTGAAAGCGAGTCATTACAACAAAGCAGTTGTGAAAGTTCCATACTGTAAATCTAATTTATGTAATCAGAGACTGGTAAACATTTCTTTAAAGTAGTAATTATCTTTTGTTGTAACTGACATTTAAATACAAGTTCTATATATAACGATGGTTGAGCTGACTGAAATTATAGCATCTCAAAACTCCAGACTTTAAATATCAAAACACATAATACTTCAACAGAATGTGAGAAAACCGCTGTCTGTCTACAGTGTTGGTTTTAGTAAGATGTTCTTCATATACCACCAATAATAGTAATCCATAAATGTCTTGCCTTCTTTAACTTGTGATGGCATATATTTAATGTACATGAATCCTTCTTTTAATGAAAAATTGTGTATTTTTTGTTAACTAAAAATAAATACTGACTTAGGAAGCAAAAGAAAAAAATATTGGTAAACAATTTGATAAGCTGAACTTGGTTTTAATAATTTTGTTCAACTAGCTAATATGCAACTGTGAATGATACTTTAAGCGACACTAAACGCAAAGAGTTTAAGAGTTAAATCTTAAAAATGCAATCAAGTACCTTGACTGTTAACACAAACATTCTCTTATTTCGTGCTCACACTGTTATTCCTTCTGCAGGAAGCTCCAAGCTCACCCCTGCGTTAGACTATAACTTCAATACAAATTAGCTAACTAAGTCTGAGATTGTAGTCCATCACGAGAGTGAGCTTGGACAGGTGGCTGCTTTACATCACACACAAGGACCATGGGAAACAAAAGTAGTCACCCTCCAGAAGGAAGGACAGTGTCAGCATGAATTTAGAGATGATTTGAGGATCTACAGCCCAATGATACACAAATAAGATACATTATTGTTAATAGTAAGGGTACTTGAATGCATTTTTAGTATTTAAATCCTGAGTTTAGTATAACTTTGACTGATTTAAAAAATATTCTGGTAAAAACTTATACAGCATGAACGCTCAAATAACATTATAAGTGACAACAAAATATGTATGGAAAGAAATATATTAAAGTGATGCTAAAGTGATGCTAAAGTCTCAAAGAAACATTATCAGTACAGGGATCGGTTATTAATAATTTTGTAAAACTCATCAACTGTCTAATAAAGCCACTCTGAATACAGCAAACAACTAAGCAACAAACACACTTTAAACTTTTTTGATTTTTAAATGCAAAATTAATTTTTCTGGATAAATCAAACGGACAATAGTAGCTCCTTTTAAATATATATTACAGAACAAATTCCCCAATGCATTATGATTTTTTTTTAATGTTCAAATTAAATGTAATGAATTCATATAATTACCTTGGACTGTTTTTCTCAATACAGTTAATGATATAATCAAACTTTGCATTACAAAGCCAAAATACATACTGACAGCCTTTATTATAAAAGCTTAATGTGGCAATTTATATTCATTCACTGAATACATAAAACACCTTACTATATCAGTTTATAATTTCTTAGATTTGTTATTTTCTTACTTCCTGCAATAGGCTGACAATACTGTTTCTTCTGCAGTGAAATCACAAATCAGAATTGTCACCCTGAGGACAGGGTAGTCTTAGAAAGGGAAGTAGTTTATAGTGAATTTTAAATCAATGACAAACACATTAGAGTTTTAACCCCTTCATGACTGAGCTAGTTTTCCGTTTCTGTTCATAAATGACTGGCACACTTTTTAAATTTTTGCAGTGTGATTCTTCCATGGCAGTAATATACTATCTTACTAAATGTACCCACACATATTATATATGGTTTTTTACAGGACAGATAGGGCTATATAATTTTATCCTAACTCCCTAATGCCTCACTTAGTTAGAATAAAATATTTTAAAATTTGGAAAACACATAAAGAAAACACTTTTTTTCACAAGTTTTGATTATTATAACTTTTTTGAATTTTTATAATAATTATAGTATAAAAAATATATATTGATATATAAGTTTTATTTTCTTATTTTTTTACACTTTATTTTTTTTTTTACACTTTTTTGTCAGTTATATAATAAGCAGTCACTATGACTGCTTCATAAATTAACTTTTTACATTTTTGGTCATTTTTAGGCTGCTCCAAACTTAGGAACAGCTAATAATAACCTTAGAGACTTATCCTGACAGCATGTCAGAATCAGATCTCACTAAAGGTTTCTGATCGTGCCCAGACTGAAGTGATACATTTCAGGCACAAAGATATATTGTAACATTGTGCCTGAAATGTATCATACAGCTTCATATACACCTGGCCAGTGTATGGAGCTGTCAAAATAAATAGCAGAGAGGTGACTCACTCTGCTACCTCTCTGCTATCTTTAGCTGTCAAATACCGGATCACTATTTAGCGATTCGGTATTTGTATGTAACGGCTTCCTTCTTTCAATAATGAAAGAAAGAAGCTTTTACAAAAGCTTAACTATTTCATTAATGAATACCTTAATACTGTGGCATTCATTAATGAATGGTAACCGCTGAGAATCAGCGGTTACCAGCATTGCAGAGCCGCAAATAACTGATCACGTACAGTGTTCATGGCCAGTCATTTAGGCACTTCGTGGTGGGACATATACAATGTCTCCCGTCACGAAGGGGTTAAACCATATGAAGAATAGATGGCAATTGTACATTACACTTTAGGTGGACAGCATGGTTTATTACAGAAAGTTGAAATATAATGGACCTACTGGCAGAATCAACAGGTAATAATGTTACAGTGGGGACTCAGAAAACAAAAACTGCTAGATTAATGCTAGTGAAAGACTGCAGAATGAATGTTATTTTTTATTTTGCCCATAGTTCCACTGTAACTGAAATGTGATATAGGATGACTTGCCAGTTAATAAATAACTATAAGTCAGTTAGACCTATAAAATCACGAAGCTACTTAAAGAATAATTGCATTATTTGTTTGCAAAACAAAAACAAAGCTTGGCAGTGGTGGTTCATCATAACCTAATGTACACAATAAGGTATAAAAAGGATCAACTAATCTGTTCACAAATTAGTCCACAGATTTGCTCATAAACCTCAAACCAGCATATAAAAGTGTCTTTCACAGCCTCCCAACTTCTAATGTCTGAGCAAACCACCTTTGTAACAAAACCAGAATGTGTAGCTGTAAACAACCCCTTTTATCAAAGAGCTGCAGCCTGCTACCTGGTGAATCAAGAGAATGAGTGCCATTCAAAGAATTGTAATAGCTACATATTACATGAAAATCAGTACAAAGTCCTTGAAACCATAAACAAATGCTTGAGAAACTATGATCTGAGAAGGATTTACCTCTAGCAGTATTTTCTTCCCATCTCTGTATGTTTTTATATTTGTTATATTCCTTGCTGGTAACAAGATTTTGTCTCTACTCCAGAAAATTGATGGTGATGGGTTAGAGACCACATCACAGCTGATATTAATTGTATTGTTTTCCCATGAGTAGTAGATAGTTTGATTTGAAACAAATTTAGGTGCATCTGTAAGAAAACAAATGGGATTCCTGATGAATATAAAAAACAAATTATATTTGCTTCAGTACTTTTACTATTCTTTGTTACAGTTGCAGAAATATTCATTACAGCATTGCATTACATCCATATTGGTTTGTACCTCGGATATTACTTCACAGAAGTTCATGGTTCAGAAAAAGAAATATTGAAAAACAAGTAGATATAACATTTGTAGAACAGCAAATAATATGTACTGGAATTCATGTTATTAATACATTCTGATTACAGTAGTATATGTGTACTGCCTTTAATAGTTTTTTTTCCTTGAATTAATTTCTGTGGTGGTGCTTATTAAAAAAAGCACAAAACTCACAACTTTGTAAGTGTTCCATTATCAACACTGCATTCTTTTTGATATACCAAAAACAATTCATTATGGAAAATTCACAATAGAAGAGCTATGAATTAAATATATTTTATTGATACAATGAAAATAAAATTACATGTAAACTCTATCACAAAATTAATTATTTATAACGTGATGGCTTATCATGGAAATGGAGGATAGGTGGGTCGGGGCTTACCAGCAGGATCATTTTTTTCCTGACACTTTAAAGAGTTGATCACAAAGGTCAGGCCGCTCATTGTCTTACAATAATATATTAAATGACTGCTTCAGGCAGTCATTTAATATATTATATGACTGCTGATCTGTCATTGCAACTGGGCAGAGCCAGCCGCAAGATCATGGCTGGCACCGCCAGCTGTCAGTTGCAAGGCTACAGGTTTCACATCGGCTCAGTAGAGCCGAAGCATATGCCTTCGCCTTTGCAGAGCCGTTCGGCCAGCTTCAGGAGCTGTACGGGCTATAGTGAATAGCCGGTACAGCAGCCCTTTGGTTCAACTGAACCGAAGGGCTACGGCGGGCGATGCTAGCTGAAGGATCAGCCAGAGCTAAGGCTGATCCTTCGGCTAGCTTTGTGAAATACTCTCTTAATCTTTCCCAAAAATATGTACTGTTAGAACTTAAGCTGGGTTTTCTATAGCCTAAAAGATCCTATGCTAAAGCCTAAAGGATCCTATGCTATGACCGCTCAACTGTAATGGTGAAGGTTTCTATATTACCCTATATTATTATTATTATTTTATTATGATTGATTATTTTTTATTATTATTATTATTATTATGCAATAGTAGGCATGTTAATGTGCTTGAAAATTCTTAGCTGCAACCTGTCTCCAAAATCAGACGATGAAAACCGCCAATGCTGGATAGGAGCCACTCATATGTAACAGTGCGAAATACTTCTTTTAAAAGGGAATTTTATTTTTGACTAATCAGGATTTATATCTGTGCTCTAACCCTATCTTAGAGGGTCTATAATTAGTCCCCTTGTTTATCTCTATTTTACTGAACTGCTTCTAGCAATAATTATATGCTTTACAGTGCACAAAGTAAGCCAATCTTCTTACAGCATTCAAATTTCATTCATTAACAGAGCTAGTGAGAATACGCTGAATAGAAAAACGACATGAAAAAGCATAAATAAAGACATGAAAAAACACTCATTAACTTACATTCAACGTTCAGATACATGCTCTTCTGATGACCACCAATTCTACTTGCTGCCTCGCAGTCATATCTTCCCGCATCTGATAAAATCACATTTTTAATGATCAAGGAGGATTTTCCATGGTGTCCTATGCTCTCTATTCTTTCATCTTGGCTCTGTTAACACATAAAGAAAACATTGATTGCCCAAATACACCTTATTTTCTAAGGGCTACATAGAGTTCTGGATTGATAATAAAAAGGAATAAACATGTACAGTGCTTATAACAATCAAACATGTACTATACTTTGCACGATAGTATGTCTTATACGTTAATAGTTATACTATAATATAGTTTTACTTTAAGTAACCCCCCGCCCAGCACCCCTTCACCCTCAAAAATTGTATACTTATCTGTCTTGCTACTGCCAGGTCCACACACTATGTAGAACACAAGCTGTGAAGAAAACGTAAAAAATTTTAATTTCGGTAATTTTTCCTTAATATAGTAAAAAAATAAAACCCCCAGTGGTGAATAAATACCACCAAAAGAAAGCTCTATCTGTCCCCAAAAAAAAGGGTATAAAATTAATTTCAGTACATCGCTGCATGACGGAATAAATGTCAGTTAAAGTACCGCAGCGCTGAATACTGAAAAATGGCCTGGATGGGAAGGGGGTTTAACACTGCAGATGTCAACTGGTTAATAAAGGTTAAAAGTAATGCATGTACAGGATATTTAAAAACATCTCGCCTGTTACACATTAGATGGAAGTCTGATCTAAGCTGCTGCTCCAGAAAGATTACAGAACACCTGTGCTGGAAAACACAGATCTGATCCAGTGGCTGAACACTGTTGTAGCTGGTTCTGAGGCTTGACAAAGGAGGTGGACCTCTGAAACACATTGCCTAGCAACACCTGATGACCTGGAAGAACTCAGCAGATGTAATCCCGCCTTGAGGAGAACCAGCCACAGCAGTGCTCAGCCACTGGATCAGATCTGTGTTTTCCAGCACAGGTGTTGTGAAATCTTTCTGGACTGGACTGGACTGGACTCTGCTCTCTCAATGTGCCATCTATCCTGAAAACAATCCTGGACCAGGAGCTAAGATCGGACTTCCATCAGATGTGTGACAGGTGAGATGTTTTTAAATATCCTGTAAGTGCATTACTTTTAACCTTTATTAAACAGTCACTTTTATACGGCACTTAGATCTGTGCACCATTTTTTTATGTTTTCTTCACAGTACTGTTACATGAATGTTTCCCTATACAACTAACCAGGCTGCAGGATCAGTGCATACATCTCCTCTGGATTAATCACCAGTTTAACTGGAGCTCCTTGTACACTATTAATATACAGTCCATAAACAATCGATCTAGTTGCGCAAGTTGATGACTTCTGTTTTATGTAGACCACAAGCTGGCCCTCCATAGGAATGAATATAATTTTTAGGCATGTGCAGAAGAAGCAAGAAACCAGATGAGAGAGTTTGCAGTGCTGACTTTGCAGCTTCATATGGGCCACATAGCATGGATCTGGCAGCAGCATGGACAGTTGAGTAGAAAACGTTGAGGGATGGGTACTTAATGGATATCTATATAAAAGGATAGTTTTTCTATCAGTGCTATAAAGCTTTTTGTTTTCAACAACTAATAATCCTTTCTCCTTCATCCTCTCCAGTCCACACTACAAGACTATCCGATTCCTGAGTGCCTAAGGATTTCATATGGGAGTGCGCATGTACATCACACATAGCATTGCTTCTTGATCTGTTTGTAACATGTCTTTAGCAGCAGGCTCAAGAACAAAGGACACAGACACCTGAAGTCAGAGGAGTGATTTATCATCCCCCTTCTCATCCTGTGTGCTCAACTGTGTTACTTTATTTAGTTTATTACTGTGAAATCAAACAGCTTCTGCAGCTGTTTCTCTTTAGAAAACACATAACACTTTGGGACACCAATGGGTTATGTGTCAGCTTGTATCATATGTTTATTTGTACAATATTACATATAAATAGTAAAAACAATATAAAACATAACTTAGAAAATGTAAAATCAACCCAAACCATTATTGTTTACTTAATAGTTTGAAATCATAAACATGGCTTAATAATTAACACAAAAATGTATAAATGATGACATGATGAAAATTACTGAATAACGTCAAGATAAGCTTATAAACCTTAACGTTCCTTTCCACCTTTGTAAGTGATTAGCATTTATATTGGTAATGAAGAGGTGCAGTGGTGACGTATACATGTGCACATTTTCATGACTCACATTTTAGACTTTCCTCTTTTTTTTTAATGAACCTTTTATTAGGCCGTAAGCCTAAGAATGCTAAATTTGCTCCACAGGAAAATCAGTCAGACACCAGGGTCGGATGGTAATTTGGCTTTAAACGGCTCTCCCCCTCCCTGTTATTCATTGTAACATGATCAGTGAACATTAGCTGTGCCTTTGCACACAATACACTGTGTGGGGTGAAAGGGGGGTTGCCATTCTGAATACTAATGAATGGGAGAGGTGAGAACGAGCTTGCAAAACACAGGCAGACATTCTTACATAAGGATATGAAGAGGAAAGCTAACAAAAAAAGTAAGTTTGTGGGTTCAAACACAGCAGCTGCATATGCCTGTTTCATGTACATTCTGTTCATTGCTGGCATATGTTTCTTAAAAATACCTCTGCAAAGGTGGAAATGGGCTTCGAAGTGATATTAAAGTCAAGCTATTTCAAAAGGATGAAATCACTTAAAAGGGATGCTGCTTCTTAATGTTTAAAAGTTTTAGTTTTCTGCCGAATCAGATGGCATCTGAGCACTGTCCCTGATATTCTGTATTGTGTTTGCTCCTTTCCTTTGCAGGGTCCTATAGGGCCACCCATGTGTGTGCTAGTAGGCTGTGTGTGTCTATACAAACACAGGGGTACAGCAAGGCAAGCCATGTCCCTCCCACTTGCTCCCTCTTTTTCCCTCCCCCCTTTTCCAAGCTAGTAGATGGACAGCTGCTGGAGACTTTGTTCTCCATTGTGATCTGTACTTGACAGGAAGTTCAGGAAAACTGAGCTGAGAGAGTTGGAGCCAACTATTTGGAAACATGACACTTGTGCATGGGCAAAAATGTAAAGGAATACTTTGCTGTGCAATGTATATTTTTTTAATATGCATTCATTATTGAATCATTACTGGATTCATTTGGGAGTGTAATACAGTGGTAGCTTGGTTCGCGAACAGGAAGTTCGGCAAAATTTTGCTTCTGTACCACTGTACTATTTTAGATAAGCAACTAGGAATTTGTTAATAAATGTAAATATGTAGAAAACTGTAAAAATATATAATAGATTGTACGTTTTGAGTACCGGAGTATGGCTGTGGCTGATTAAATACCAATGATACAATTCAATCTGACTGATGGCTGTTCTGCATGCCCAGAATTGGCAACCTCATTCGAAGTGAATAAACAATCATAGGTAATGTGAAATGAAATAGCTGGAAGGAAAGGAATATTGGCAAGTTTTCAACTGTAATATATTACTCATTGTTTAAACTTTCTCATTTCCAAAAATTTTACTGCATATAATGCTAAAGCTGCATAACTTTAATCCAACAAGCTTGTTGGCACCAATATCTTGATACAGCTGTTAAAAGCAGATCAATTTCCTAGTTAAACATATTTTTATAACCATATCATAGTCCAAATCTGTAAATCAGATCACTTGTTTTTTGTTGTTTATGACCCATAAAATAGTCCTGACTTATTTAACATGAGTAATTTGCAGCTGTAGCAAATTTGATACTTTCATCAGATCTAACATTGGTAAAATAAAATATGATTGCGACTTTAGGTCACCACACTTTGTACATTTCAGCAAATAATGTGGAATTGTTCAAGAAACTTTTGGACGATTTCTTAAGGGACCGTAATATACAGGGGTACGGGTACTCCTAGAATGAGATCCTAATAGGTTGGACTTGATGGACTAATGTCTTTATTCAACCTCAAATACTATGTAACTATGTAACATTATCATCTACACTGCCTTATTGAAAAAAGATTTTTTCTATTTTTAGTGGTTAGATTAGCTTAGACAAAATATAGCTATGTTATATACGCCAAAAGCTGACACTGTAGGAGGGTCATTAAAAAAATCTACAAGCTTCTTAAAGCCCAAATGAACTTTCAGTTTAAATCAGATAAATTAAATCCAGATGCATCAAAACAAACAATGTTCCAAGTCTTACAATTTACTTTCTGTAGAAAGCAGCCACATACTGAGTAGAAAAGGATGTCCCCTTCCAGCCTCCTGCAGAGAAGGTCCCTTTCTCTCTTTGTGGAATCAGGGGTCTCTCTGCAGAGGTCCACCATAGCTTTAGCTCTCCAGTCAGCTGGGAGGGGGAGCTTTGCTGACTAGAAATTGGTCTCATTCTACTTTGGAAAATTAATAAAATACTTTGAAAGATAGAAATTGGTCTCAGCAGGGGGTATGTTGGACCTGTGCAGATAGACCACCGCTTCCACACAGAGAGCATGGGTCCTTCCCTACAGCATGCTGGCAGGGGACAGGCATTCCCCAAGCTGTAAGACTTTGCACACATTTTGTTTTGATGCACCTGAAATGTAACTCATTTTAACTAGTTCAGTTGGACTTTACACATTTCAGGGATTCCAGCAGTAAGATATTGGGGTTGATTTACTAAAGGCAAATAGGCATTTCACTTTGCAAGGGAATTGGTGCTTTGCAAGAAAAATTGTCCCTTCAGCTATGCTGAATTCATCATCCAATCAAGTACAAGCAAAAATATAGCTTTTTCAAATGTCTTTACTCATGATTGACAAAGTGAATTTTCACAACATTAACTGAGGTAAAGGAAAATTCCACCGGAAAGCACACTTACCCTTGCAAAGTGAACAGCTTTTTTTCCCCTTTAATTAATTAACCCCATTGAACTATTCTATCTACTGGAACCCCAACCCACAAATCATACACACAAACATACAACTATTCACAATTATTACAAGACAAAGCAAGAGATTTCTAAATCTCTTGTTGCAGACTCTGCAATGCATGATCACTTAGTAATGAATAATCTAGAAGTACACGTGAGATATCTGTGTCTGGGGCCATTACCATCTGGTGCTCTGTCACTAGCAACCGAAAACAACTCAACGCTGCAATTACATATACAATTCCCTTAAATAATTTCTCAACAGCAAAGGACATCTTGCACTCACGCTCTATATAGCATGCAGAGCCTTATTTACCATTAAGGAGTTACAGTGTGGAAAATAATTATTTGACCCCCTGCAGATTTTGTAAGTTTGCCCACTTACAAAGAAATTAAAGGTCTATAATTTTTATCATAGGTGTATTTTAAATGATAGAGACAGAATATCAACCAAAAATCCAGAAAAAACACATGATACAAATGTTATAAATTGAGTTGCAGTTCAGTGAGTAAAATAAGTACTTGATCCCCTACCAACCAACAATAATTCTGGCTCCCACCGTCTGGCTATGTGGCACACAGATTAGTCCTGTCACTTTAAGAAGGTGCTTCTAACGACAACTCATTATGTATATAAAAGACACCTGTCCACAGAATCTCTTTCTTCCATCTTTTTTATTCAACCTCAAATACTATGTAAACCTCACCACCATGGGCAAGACCAAAATCTGCAGGGGATCAAATAATTATTTTCCTCACTGTATGAGCCTAAGTTTGGGAAGAAGAGTGACAGGGACCAATTACTAATGGAATTTTTTTTGAAATTATGTATTTTTTTTGCTTACCTGGCCACATCTTAACACTTCTGGGTAAATATAAAAGTGTATATGGAGATTAGTCATATGACTTTCTGTATTTTCAAAAATAATAGGAGACATGATGAAATACCCAAAGCAAAAATAAGTCATAGGATTCAGACTTGCTAAGATTCCACCTTAAGTAGCTCATACATGGTTAGAATTTAAAACAAACAAAATTGATTTTGGAAAAATCTCTAATCCATGGTGTGGTCAAAGTGATGATCAATTTTGACCACAGTGCTGAAAATTTTTTGAAGGAGCATGTTGGGAAATTTTTCTTGATCAAACAAAATTCTAACAGTGAATGTGATTTTTGTTTTTTTGGGGGGAAACTCTATTCATTCCAAAATCAAATGTTAAATAAAAGCACTCAAACAAAATTCCTAACAGCAATAGCCAAGTCTCTGATGGCGTTATTGAATGTTCTGACAAGATTTTCCATACTAATATTTGTGCAAAAATCTACCCATGTATACCCAACTTTAAAGTGTGTGTCTAGCCATGTTACTGATAGATTTAGGAAGGGTTAGAGCTCCTTTCAGCTTTGGAACACACCAAGATGTGTAGACCATGATTTAAGCCTCATCCAAGGCATCCCACCTGGCTCCATTACCTATTAAACACAGGCCTACATTTTCAAGTTTGTAACCCTCAAGAAGAGTGGTAACCTAAAATGCACTGGCTACTTTATATTACATTTTCCAAGTAAATTAAATATTTAACAGTCAGAAACTTTGAATACCTTTCTTTAAAACATGTCTCACCCTTGACAACAGCCTTTAGAGATGCAAAATCCCAATATAAGTACAGTAGCCATTAAGAATATCAGGCGCAGTGCTATTCCACACAACCCCAGTGCTACCCTACAAATCCCCTCCAAGTTTTTTTTTGTTTTTTTTTGTTTTTTTTTTGCTGTCTGCTTCCACACTGGGAAAATTCATCCTTACTGTTTGTCCTAGTGATCACTGTCACCAAGATAAAAAATTATGGGAAATCCAAACTTTTAGAGTTGTCGCCAGAACAGGAGGCGAGAGTAAATTTTCCAATAGGTACATTGGTTCCTGTGACAACTGTTTAAGAGGGGAATTTCCCACATTTTGTAAATAATTCATTCTACTTCCTTTGTATCTCAAGGAAAGAAAGTGAAGGGAAATCTCCCCAATGGGCAACAAAACATAAACTGACAGGGATTTTAAACCTTCCCTACTCTATCCAAAACTATCCCTAGTCAAAACAATAAAATATGAACTCTAACAGTTTGGATTTAGATCATATTAATCCCTTGGCATTACAGTGGGTTTTAATGTACAGCACACTGCATTTATTTACCGATTTATTTTATGTCTAACTGCAATAAACCCAGAAAAATAAGGGAAGGGGAACTCACCAAGGACCTAAATGCTGGAACTTGCAGAACATTACTTGTCTGTCAAAACAACTTTAAAGAGTAAGAGCATTTTATATATTGCACTTTCCCAGGGGAAATATAGAGCATCACCTCCATATTTGTACATACTGTTTATTGCTGTATTTTTTTTAACAATAAAAGTATGTTCAGGATCTCCCCAGCCATTTAAATCTCTATGGTGTGTTTAGAGGCTATGGTTCTTGATGATGTCAATAATACCAGTTCAACTTTTTCTAAGATGAATTTGGAGATGTTGTGCACCTGCAATGTATTGTCTAATACAGTAGCTGTTTTCTGTTATAATCAGTCTATGCCTAACATCACCAACAATTGTACATTCACTGAAAAAAGGTACAGTTGTTATGATTATGGTTATTACTTCTATGCCTGGCTTCATTGTGTCCTTCATGATCTAAATCTATAGTAATAAACCTAGAAGCATCCATGCAGCTAGTATTTCTAATGAAGTTCAGTAATGACAGCCACCATATTTCCTTTGCATAGGTTTCCTTTAAAGGTCTTCCTAGGCCTTCTGATTTTGCTATTTATAGATTTTTAGTTAAGTTCACTGCTATGCTATCAGCATTGCATCTAATATGCAAACATCAACTTTTCCTGAAAATGTGCTTGTCCCCGCCCCTTATGCCTTTTCTACTTTGTTTATCATTACTGTGGACTAAAAACAAAGAAAAGGAAGTGGGAAGGGCAAGGTCAAGCACAACTTCAAGGAAAGCCACTGCTTGCATATTAAAGCATTGCCAATATCTCAGAGGAGACACATGACCAAGAGCAAGAAAAAGAACAAATTGAAGGCACAAGGAAACCCATTACACTAATATAATTGCTTTATTGTGTGTGATTACATCACAGGCTCTCTTTAATTTATCTTTAAGCACTTCAATTTTTTTAAAGTGTAATAAGTCCGATAATGTTTAGTGATAATCCAGTACAACTTTACACAAATTTACATTGAATGCTAACAGGGATGTGACATTGCTTGAAAAAAATAAAATACAATTCTTTGTTTGATAATAAGCTGCAGTCAACAAAAATATATGGATAACAGACTTTACAATGTTATAGGGCAGTGGTGGCGAACCTTGGCACTCCAGCTGTGCCAAAACTACAAATCCCAACATGCATCTGCCTCTGGGAGTTATGTCTGTGATTGTCAGAGCCTTGCAGTGCCTCATGGGACTTGTAGTTCTAAAACAGCTGGAGTGCCAAGGTTCACCACCACTGGTATAGGGTTTCACTAGAGTAAAATGTTCTACATTTACACTAATGTCTGAGAGTAGAACTGTTGCCCGGCTATTGGCATTTACATATCTACATATTCTTAACAAGCAGTTAATACATTTTAATACACTTTAAAGAACAAGCATGGCTTATTTTTTCCCTTTAATTAGTTCCCCCACCAAGCAGTTAATACACTTTAAAGAACAAGTATGGTTTATTGTTTTCCCTTTAATTAGTTCCCCCACCACTTGAGTGCTGCCCACTAGGTCTTAGACATGTGCACCGGCAAAACATTTGTTTAGTTTCATTTAGTTTTGATTCTGATTTTGCGTTATTTCTTTTTCGGGATTTGGGTCCGAAAGTCAATTTGTTTCGGGATTCGGATTCGGCCAAAATACGTTAGCAGTAGTCTGTACGAATTGTTTGTTTCGTTGCAGCAAAGTGACATTATAAAACAAAATATATTTTTTTTAATGTCACTTTGCTGCAAGGAAAATTCGTACAGACTACCGCTAACGTATTTCGTCCGAAATGTCGTTTTCGGAAATTCCGATTCATTTTCATTCATCATTTCTGTTATTCAGAAATTCTGATACATCCGAATCTCCGAATAATTAAAATTTGTCCAAAAAACTAATTTTTCCGAAACGAATAGCACATGACTACTAGGTCTTGTACTTACCATTTAGCCCAGATTCAGCAGCCTTAAGTGTGTGGCCCTGCTGTGAGCCACACAGCATATCCTCTGAAAATGTCTGCTCCTTACTGCACATGCACGCCATGGCCCCATTAGTTTCTATGGGAAAGAAAGGTTGTGCAGCTTAAACCAAGACTGCACAGCAAAGATTGCTGGATCAAAGCTGGAGGTAAGTATAAAACCTTTTAGACAGCACTCGGGGGGCAAACAATTAAAGAGCATGTTTTGGAGAAGATAAGGTGGAATGGATTTAACTTAATCTAGCTGTCCGATAGGGTAGATAGAGAAATCGACAGAAGAAATAGCAGATTATGGAGGAATACCAACCACTATCCAAATAAAAAAAAATAAGTGTTAGCTGGACATACATTTTAAACTGTATTTGCTACTTGTTAAGATTAATATCTGAATGTCCATAGCCTTGCAACAGTTCTTCTTTAAAGTAGCCATTTATTATTTACACATAATTGTCCGAAAAAACCCAAAAAACAATCTCACCTTGTCTCCACCATAAAAAGTCCTCCCATCACTTGCTCTCTTCCATGTAATCTCGGGGACAGGCTCGCCCTCTGCTTCACATGTCAACGTCGCATGACCGTTTTCAACAGTTGTCTCATTCTGCAGTTGTATAATATGAGGCTGCACTGTTAACAAAATTAATTACATTACTGCTAAAATTATTTAGTAGTATAACACTGAAACAAGACATGAGGACTGGAAAACAATTGCAAAAGCCTATGATCACCATTTGTACAAAAAATACTGGATCAGAAGCTGGGCAGCATAATACAATGAGTGTCAAGTTGCTGGGCCTCAATGCTGTCACATGGGAGTGTGGAGAGGTGCATAGTCCTGTATTAGTCATGAATTGTCACTATTTTTGGGCTTTGGCAGTGGACTGGGGGTACAGAAGGAATGCAGAGAAAGTGAATAATGAATATCTATTTCAACAAAAGAATATGAAACACTTCCAGAACAAATTTTGTCCTAAACGCTAAGCACTAATTGCAACAATGTAATATATATACTGTATATAGACCATGCAACCTATAGCCACCTAAATATAAAGCTGAAATCCAGGCTTAAATATCTATGTATACTTACAATGTTCCAGTTTGGCCCAATGTAAGTATTCATATTTGATATCTAGTAAGGCCACGGGGAGCCTGTAAAACATTGTAATATGTGCAGCTACTACAATGATTTCCAGCGATCTTCATGGTCCTGTACTGCCAATGCGCAGGGGGACTTCCCCTCTGCTGTGAAAACACAAAGGGTTGCTTGTTCGGCACAGAAGCCATTAATTAAATGCATACTATTTACATACACTCTTTAAAGTGTATGTTAACCCTAACAATGAACTTCTCTTATTTATTCCCATCTGGTTTAGTGAATATACCATTGAACATTTTGGTATCTTTGGTTATTTCTTCAATAAATGCAAAATGTCTGTTGATCCGGGCAAAAACCTTGTGAAATTCATGTGCTTTCTGCCTTTACTAACTAATATCAGCTAGTATTGTTCCCAGTTCCCTATCTTGACCCTTGTTGTTGTTCTGAGATGTTCTTAATGCCGGATTTATAAAATAAAAGACACACATGGATTTTTGAAGTGTCACAATTTTCCTTCCTTGGACAGTTGTATTGCTGGTAATTACTAGTTTATACCCAATGTAAAGTGGTACTGAAATCATAAAGTGAGATTTGTAATGTTAGAGGGAAAGTTTAAAAATATTAGTTGTGTCTAAACAGTATCCTGAAAATGTACCTTTTGTCTGCAACTCCTCCAGAAAAATAGCAATGCACTTCCTGGTATGTGAGGGTACTTAGGCACTCCTAAGCCTACAATCATATATATGTATACCTTCAGTGTGAGATGTAAGACACTGCTGCCTCTGACAGCTAGTCTAATGAGATTTGAAGTGAGATTTGGTGATGTCACCACTGTGTGCTCATTGTTCTCCTTGCTGGAGGCTTTGACATAAGTAAACAAGCCCTGCCTTGTCCAAGATGGCCACCCCCGCACAGAGACACAGTGAAGGACAAGGTATGGTAAGTCAGTAATGAGGAAAGATCTGCTGTTGAGAAGCCACAGGCAATGTTGGTGACTATCCCTTCACCCTCCACCTGCCTTTTTTGGGACAAAGTTCAGTTTCTCTTTGTGTTTTTGTAATTCTATTTTAAATCTGATATTTTTCCTGCCTGGGTCAATCTGCTAGATTTTTGTACATCAGCAAGCACCATTTTTATAAAGTGTATAATCACTTATTCCAAAATCTTGCTTTTGGCCTTAACTGCTTCATACCTATCCTGCAAGAAAAAGACCCAGATTGTGGTTACGGTAACACTCCGATCATTCTTGTGTACTGACTGTAAGATACAATCTAGCAGACACTCATTCCCCGGTGAACGCTTACAGGCTGCTGTTTCTAGAAAAGCAGCATAGCTTCATTCTTTTGTATTGCTTCCTTTCAACAGAATTATTACAGCACACACCATATAGCAGAGATATAGCAAGACAATTCTCCAGCTAAGGTTATAAGCTTGTGAGTCCTCAGTGATCTCTTGAATTATCTAAAATGACATTTTATATAGAAAATGTGCTGGCAGCAATAATGTATTTCTCAAATGAGTTCTTGAGAAACAGAATCAGTGTCAAATATGTTTTTTCTAGATGTATCTCAGCATTTACACATACCATTAAGACGTGGTTCACCGTATGGCTGCTTATCCTTACTGTTCTGTATATGTGATCAATTTAAAATCTAATCAATGTGAGTTTAAAGAGGCCCTATACTTTACCTATTTGTCGAAAACGGTCAAAGTCTTGAAGTTGCCTGCCCCCGACTTATTTATACTCAACCTTTGCTGATCATCCCCACCCCAAAGTCGCTCCTATCTTGATTAAAGCTAATGCAAAATACCAGCTGTTTTGAGGTATGGGGGAACATGTGACCTTCTTCCATGATTCAATGCCTGAGCTAAATGGCCAATTACCAGGCCCAAAAACTGTCACATGACAGTGGGGGGAGGCATCACCAGCCCTGTGTAAGCTCCAACAGGGTATTTTTATATGGCCGCAGTAGAGGAAGCAGCTGGGGGGTATAAGTAAGTCAGTGGTGGGCTAGCAAGATATTGTCCACACCTGTGTGAAAGAGGCTCTTTAAAGGATAACTGTACTTTAACACAAAGTGTACTTATCCTTTTTACCCCTTTGCCCTGACCTAAACTTACCCACTCACTCCCTCCACAGATGCATCTACCTACTTCAATCCAATGGCTGTGGCCTCCAATGATTGTTTACATCCAGGACCACAAGTTTTACTCTCCTAGTTGTACTTGCACATTACAGCCCCATAGACTTCCGAAGATGGAGGGGGGTGGTCCCAGGAGTGGCCAGGAGGGTGAGAGTTGCGGTGCTGGATCACTGAAAGCTGCGAGTGTCAGATCTAGGTAAGTATGCATATGTGGAGGTGGTGGCTACTTCACAGTTCCACTGTGTCTATGGAGGGGGCCATTGTTACATAGTAACATAGGGGTCTATTCACAAAGCTGCCAAAGGATCTGGCCGTAGCTTCGGCCGATCCTTCGGCTAGCTTCGGCCCCAGGACCCCTTCGGTTCAGGAGAACCGAGGGGGTGCTGTACGGGCTATTCACAATATGCCGCTCGGCGGCATTCGGCTATTCTCTCACTGCTGTTCGGGATCTTTCAGAATAGCCTGAACAGCAGTGTGAAGCCTGCCGGAGGTTCGGCTCAGCCGATCCAGATGTTGGATCGGCTGAGTCGAACTCCTTCTGCACTTCGGGTCAGCCGAACATGCTGAGCATGTTCGGCTGATCCGAAGCCACACGAAGCAAGCCGATGTACGGCGCATTTCAGCTGATGTACGGCTTAAATCAGCCGTACCAGCCTGAAGTGAATAGCCGAACAGTGTTCGGCTCACTTCACTTCTGATCGATCATTCACTCGGCTGCCCTCGGCAGCTTTGTGAATAGACCCCATAGTATGTACGGTTGAATAAAGACCAAGGTCCATCCAGTTAAACCTATGTGTGTGTGTGTGTGTGTGTGTGTGTATGTGTGTATATTTATCTTGCTCTAACACTTCAGATATCCCTGTAGATTCTGCGAAAGTAGAAACTCATCCAGAAGTTTCTTGAATTCATCAATGTTATCAGTAGATATCACCGCCTGTGGTAGAGAATTCCAAACTTTCACTACTCTCACAGTGAAATACCTCGTGCAAATTCTAAGATTGAACCCCCTCTCTTCTAACCTCTTGTTGCGTCCCTGGGTTCTGAATACAGTTTTGGGATTACTCAAGATGGGGCCAAACCAATGATTTATAAAGTGAAACTCTTTCATCCCTTGCCACAATTCCTCTTTTAATACAAGCCAGTATCTTGTTAGCTTTGCTGGCTGCTGCTTGGCATTGCATACTATTGCCAAATCTGTGATCTATGAGCACACCTGGTCTTTTTCTATTTCTGACTTCCCTAATGTAGCACCCCCCAAGTAGTAGCTTGCGCACATGTTCTTTACTCCCATGTGCATAACCTTACATTTTTCTACATTAAATCGCATTTGCCATCTTGTATCCCATACTTTAATTTTGCTTAGGTCTTGTTGTAGTGCAAATATCTCCTGTTCAGAATTTACTGCTCTGCAGAGTTTAGTATCATCCGCAAAAAAACAAAATTGAGCTATTTATTCCAATCTCTATTTCATGGATGAATAACATGAACAGGATCAGTCCCAGGACTGAACCCTGGGGCACCCTTGCCCAATTAGCGAATTACCTATTTATCACTACCCGCTGGGTCTGTTCTTGCAGCCAATTTTACACCCATGTACATACAATTCCATCTAGACTTATAGACCTTATTTTATGCATTACACATTTGTGGGATACTGTGTCAAATGCTTTACCAAAGTCCAGATACACCACATCTACTGGTTTTCCTTTGTCTAATTTAGTACTTAATTCCTCATAATATGTTAATAGATTGATCTGACAAGAACAGTCCTTCATGAAACCATGTTGGTTACCACTTATGATACCAGTTTTATTTGTAAATTCCTGCATGTAGTCCTGTATCATGCCTTCAAATATTGTAAACACTATTGATGTTAAGCTGACAGGCCGGTAGTTACCTGGGTCACTTCTTTTCCCCTTTTTAAATATTGGTACTACATTTGCTCTCCTCCAGTCAGCTAGGACCATACCTGTCATTAAAATGTCCATAAACATCTTCTACAAGGGTCTGGCTAAGACTTGATTAAGTTCCTTTAGTACCTTGGATGTAACCCGTCTGGTCCTGGTGATTTGTTTACATTTATTCTTTCTAATCTCTGTATTACTCAACTAATGGTTGTCACCCTAGGCTGCTCTCCTGATATAGACTACAAACATGTCCTTATCTCTCCATCTCCATTATCTAGGAGGCAGAAAAAATGGGTTGTTTACAAAAGATGGCTAGAAAAGAAAATGACCTTCGGTGCAGCTCACAAGAATGACAAGCACTCTGCATTTCTGGCAGAATCAATAGGTATCTTCTTTAAGTGTTAAACATTTTCTTAGCCTGAGAAAAAAAAAAACTAATGAAGCCACAACATCTAAGGACTGGTAAGCTGTTATATACTATATTTTTGGTCTTGGGTTTCCATATGAGTTTTAATATGTGCATAGACAGCCAAAATTATGCACATGCATCAGTGCTGTCGTATTTTCCCTGTACATACACTAATTTTGAATGTAGATAGGCAAATCTTCTCCTGAAGTGAGGCTCATTTGGCTCTGCAAGACAAATATTCATATTTAACAGCAAGAGCTGTCAAAGAGCCACTTAACAGTTCACTATAATACAGACTGACAGTGCCCTCCCTCCTCAAATAGGAAGCCAGAGCTCTAAGGGATATTGACAGTCTAACTCTCTGGGTGACCTTCAATCACCTGGAAGGATCCAATGACGATCTCAGTTTTAAGGCTTACAGGTTGAGTCTTTCTGCCTCCATGACATAGCAGACATGTAGTAGTATACAGTAGACTGCAATGCTTCAAGTTTTAAAGTGCATACAAAGTACGTTATTAATACAAAATGTATCTTATTTGTGTATCACTCAGTTTTAGATTCTCAAATTATCTCTTAATTTGTGCTGTTTGGAGCGGTGGCTACTTTACAACACACACAGGAACCATGGGAAACAAAAGTAGCCTCCTTCCAGAAGGAAGGACAGTGTCAGCACCAATTCAGAGATGATTTGTGGATCTACAGCCGAGTCATACACAAATAAGACACCAATTCATTAATAGTTAGGATACGTGAATGCATTTTTAAGATTTAACTCCTGCGTTTAGTGTCACTTTAACATCTCTGTTTTTCTCCAACAGCCACACTGTGTTCACCCAATATTTATCAGTCTGTCTCCATCTGCTCTTTGAGGGTAAGCAGCATGGAGAGAGCTGGATTTGCTGCACGTTTTGTACAAAGCAATCACCTCTAGCTGCAAGTGTGCACAAGCATGCACACTTTTGTTCAGATACATGTGCACAACATGTATCTCAAACTCTTGCAGCCGCATTCCCACTGGTTTGTGGCTTCGTGTGGAACTTTACATCAAAGCAGAGAAGAGATCGATACTGCATTGTCTTTAATGGGTGAATCACTCCTTATATTAAAAAAAAAATCAAGCCAGTAAATTGTTAATACAAATGTGTTTGCTATAAAGGTTTTTATGCATTTGAATGTCATTTTGTGTATTTAAAGAGCAAAAGATAAAGAAAGATCAGAATGGACTAGATGGTAGCTGAGCTGTCCTAGAAGCATTGTGATTAGTTATAAAACCTGCAGAGCGCATGGCTGAATCCGTGACAGGTGTCTTAACCTTGATAACAAGCCAGACCTGACTGCATCTGCCAAAAAATCTTTCTAAATGAAATCTGGATAAATCTGCTCATAAATTGATCAAATGGCAGGCATACCTCCCAAGCGCCGGACCTGAGATGCTCCTTTTTGGCAGCTGGTTCTCTACAAACATAAGCAATGCAAGCTTCGTATCTGACAGCATTACAGCAGTAAAAAATAAGAACAAACATATTGTCTAATTAGCTAAATGGAAGGTATCATGCATGTTCAGTGAGCACACATTTTTAGATATTACTGCAATGCGTATATTACTTTAAAGTGTATGTAATCCAAAAAACAATATTTCAATGATTGTCTTCCTTAAAGGAGAACTATGAGGTGAGTGATTTACACTCATCCTCATAGTTAGAGCCAACGTGTGACATTGAAACTGTCACACTTGGACTCTATAGATCCGGAAGTGAGCCAACACATACCGTCGCTTGCTCACTTCCCGATTATCTCTCTGCAGTGAGTGGTGAGTGTCAATCACCATTTCCCGCAGTGATTCCCCGCCTCCCCTCTCAGATCCCCCACTGCTGACTGGAGGAACGGACTGGGAGGGGGCGGGTACAGTTGGCTCTGTCTCTAGATAGGCAGAGCCCATTGTCACTCAGCCAGCTGGGTGGATCTCAACAGTATTGTCGGGATCCGTCCCGACTGCATTGCTCTCAGTATATCGCGGGCAATAGCCCACGATATACTGAGGTTTGGGTAATGGCTATATACTGAGCTTTGGGTTGAGGGCATGGCTACAGGCATGGCTACGGGCATGGCTATGGTGCCATTCACTTCAATCGGACTGGAGCGCACTGCTTATGGTGTGAACTAACCCTAAGGCCTGGTTCACACCTGAACGTTTTGTAGCTTGTTCAACGCTCGACGAACGCTCCACAAAACGCTCAAACATCTAAATCCCATTGTATTCAATGGGTCTGGTTCACACCTTGCCGTATTTTTGCCCGTCCGAACGCGATAAAAAACGGCCTATGCCCAAAGAAGTACATGTACTTCTTTGGGGCGTTTTGGTCTCGCATTTCCATTGGGATACAGCCAAGTAGCCCTTGGAAACGGCGACAAACGCGCATATTCAATACGCCTAGGTGTGAACCCAGCCTAAGCCCTGCGTCCAGTAGACATGTGCGATTCGTTTTGGAAAAATTAGTTAGCTGTAGTCTGTACACAATTTCGTTTGTGGGCGAATTTTTATTGCAGCAAAGTGACAAAAAAATTTTTATGTCACTTTGCTGCAATGAAACAAACGATACGAACATGAAACAGAAATGAACATTAGTCCAAATCCCTAAAAACAAAATAACACAAAATCCGAATCAAAACAAGCTGAAACGGAAAAAAATTTCCCCGGTACACATGTCTAGTGTCCAGCGCGTCACAAAGCCCTGCATCCAGCGGGTAATGTGACTGTGGGTGGGGACACTAGAGTGTAAGCTCCTCTGTACAGAGACTGATGTAACTGGGGGGAGGACATTAGAGTGTAAGCTCCTCTGTACAGAGACTGATGTGACTGTGGGGGGACGTTAGAGTGTAAGCTCCTCTGTACAGAGCCTGATATGACTGGGGGGGCATTCGAGTGTAAGCTCCTCTGTACAGAGACTGATGTGACTGGGGTGGGGACATTAGAGGGTAAGCCCCGGTCCCATCAGTCTCTGTACATAGGATGCCTAAAGCCGTGTATGGGGCCCCAAAATTTCTGAAGGCTGCGCTGATGCTACGCACATGCTACACTATCCTATGGTAGATGCAAAGAAAATCTCATAGTGTCATAAGGTTTTAAGTAAGGTTTCTCTGCTCATTCATACCATTTATTTTTTTACACTTAGTCCTTTTCTGATAATAATGTACCAGTAATCACACGCTAGTCATCATGTTACTTCCTACAATATAACACTTTACATTCTTGCAAATTATTTATCTTTCAACTTTCACAGGTGATAATGCTTTCATAGCTACAATATGTCAATTATGAAAGAGTTCTAAAAAGATAAATGTACTTTCACCATATATCCTTTATTTCAACTTGTTCTTGCAGTCTAAAATGACTGTTTCAAGGGAAACCTGATCTGCTGATAACTACAATTTTCAGACACCAAGCCTGTAGCTTTCCACATGTGAGTTCACCTTCATTTCTCTTCCTAAAGCAGCCTCTCCCATCTACAATGCCCTCTAGTGGTTGCAAAGAGCAACTTGTTTTTAATAGAGGCTGTTGAATCACCCGCTGGCTTCTTATACAGGTGAAACTCGAATAATTAGAATATCGTGCAAAAGTAATTGCAGTAAGTGCTGCAAAAGGGGCCCAAACCAAGTACTGAGTACATATGCATGCTTGTACTTTTCAGAGGTCCGATATTGTTCTATGTACAATCCTTGTTTTATTGATTGCATGTAATAATCTACTTTTTTGAGGTTGTAGATTTGCGGTTCTTGGGGCTTTCATGAGCTGTAAGCCATAATCATCACAATTATGACAAATCACGGCTTGAATTATCTTGCTTTGCATGTAATGAGTCTATCTCATATATTAGTTTCACCTTTTAAGTTGCATTAGTGAAATAAATGAACTTTGCACGATATTCTAATTATTCGAGTTTCACCTGTATATCTTGGAGATTTTATTCATGAGATCTCTGCACCAGATGAATTTCACTCATAAGCTGCAGCCATTAGGGAGGTCTTATCCTCGCTACTGTAATTTTCATTTTTATTATAGGTATCTCAGCAAAGGATTTAGTCTCTTGCTTCATAAACAGGGAACGCATGTAATAGTGTTTCACTGCCACACAGAAATAGCCCTTTAAAGTGAATGTTAAGCCAAAACTTTATTTTTTAGTTTTAAATATAGTATGGAAGGGTGAACAACAGGTTATTGTTTTGCTGCATATGTCTTGTTAGTGAGATTTCCCTTCATTGCTGCCCTGGAGACACAACAAGAAAATTCCCATCATAAAGAGTTGATGTTAAGAACAGGTGTCCCCATGGGAGGGGTTTGCATCACTTCTTTGGCACAAAGACAGTAATAAAAAATCTATTCAAAACTAAAAAAAAAACCCTTCTTTTTACACACACTTTTTAAATATTTAAACGTAGTACTGCTTTAGGGCAGGTTCACACCATTTCCTGGAGGAGATCTGGTCCGGAAAATGGTGGGAACTGTCTTGCAGTTCCAGTGCATTCTAGACCAGACAAAATAAGACATGCAGTGTTTTTCTGGTCTGGTCTTGAATGGACTGCGCTGGTGTGAACAGAGGCCAGAAATATGATAGGGATACATTAGGATGCATTTTGGGTCTGGAAACAATCTGGTCTGGTTTGGAGATGATCAGGATGTGGTGTGAATGGGCCCCATATTGCAACTCTTATGTTGTAAAAGATGCCAGCAGTACACAACATAACAGACTTACCAAACACCTGTAGAAAGGACGGTTTTTCAGTGACTCCAGCTTTGTTTGTTGCTCTGCAGGTATAGGAGCCTGCATCACTGTTGATAATGTTCTTTATGGTTAATTCCGTGTTATCTTCTCTTAATAAATACTTTTCATTTTCTTCAATCATTCTCCCGTTCCTAGGAAAAGCAACAACATATCAATTCTTTTAAATAATACATAGCTGTTTGAGTCTACAGCCAGGTAAAGGAAGTTTTGGACTGTATTGCATGGTCTGTTACTTCCACTGACCCTAACTGGAAAAAAAAAAAACATTCAACATCAAATGTGTTTCATGCCACTTATGCATAATGCCCTGTTTTTATCCAGCCCTAACAAAAGATGCAATGTTCTATTAAAAGGATATACTTTACTACACAATCAAACTGGTTACAGTCATTAGTGGTCTGAATTCAACTATGGAAAACCTTACCCAAAGTGTGAGGCGAAGTAAGGCTAAGTAATATAGACATGTTTTCTGACAGAATCTCATTAACAGTGGGGAGTAGTGATGAGCAAATCCTTGCAAATCCACTCTGCCATTGATTCACTGGAGCAGATGCTGAGATTTGTTTCACCAAGCAGAAATATGCAATCCACCCAGTGTATGGTAATTTGACCATTACTATTTAATTTGGGTATTCCTTCTAACCAATAAAGAGAGGGTGCAGGGGACCATAACGTGCCATTCTTAACCCCCCTCCAGGATTTTATATAGAATGCCCCATGAACCTATTTCTGTCTACGACCTGTAGATTAACATTTATCTGCAGCTATTTAAAGGCAATCACATGGCTTTGTTTATAAACTAATCAGTGACAACTGGTCAAATCCTAGCCAGTGACAAACTCCCTTAAAGGAGAACTATGAGGTGAGTGCTTTTCACTCACCTCATAGTTCTAGCCGACCTGTGACAATGAGACTGTCACAGGTCGGCTCAGTAGATCGGGAGGTGAGCGAACACATACCGGGTTCGCTCGCCTCTCGATCCTGTCACGGCTCTCTGCCGTGACAGGGGGAGGGGCTGGATTCCCCTCTTCCCGCTCCGATCTGCCAGCGCTGACTGGCGGAACGGACAGGGGGAGGGTACAGCTGGCTCTGCCTCTAGATAGGCAGAGCCAGCTGTCACTCACGCAGCTTGGCGGATCCCGTCATCTAAGTCAGGATCCACTCGGGCTGTGGCATCTCAGTATACCGCGAGCTGTAGCTCGCGGTATACTGAGCTTAGGGTAACGGGAGGACGCTAGTTTGTGTCCTCCAGTTACCCTAAGGAGAACTATGGGGAAAAACACTGACCCCATAGTTCTCCTTTAACATTTCTGTTCCAGGTGGTCTCTGTACACTTTTATCTCTGGTACAGGATTCTTAAAGCCCATTGAAACTTTCATCTTTATTTGACTTAATGCATTCCAGGTGCCAGCATGCAGTAAGGAAGGACCATTGCTCTTTGTGTTGAAGCAATGGTCTCCCTGCAGAAGTCTGGCACGCCCCCTTCTGAGATCTATGGCTCTCCAATCAGCAAAACTCATGTTCCCCGTTGATTGGAGAGCTCTCTCTCTGACTAAATAGTGGGTGGACCTTTGCAGATATAATATAAAATAAATTAGCTCCAATGTATTATTTATATTGGGCAATGCAATATATATCTATATCTTTATATACAATATATATACAATATATAGATATAGATCTATATCTATATATAGATAGATCTATATCTATCTATATATAGATATAGATCTATCTATATATAGATATATATAATACACATATACAGAACATATATATTTAATACTTATTTATGGTTTAGCCATCTGTGTATATCAGGTAGCAAAACACTATTGGATTTATTTAATTAAAATAATGATTATTTGAGGAATGTCAGCTAGTAAATGTAACACCGAAGAGTAGTAATTTTCATAATATATCATCAATCATCATATGCCAGTTATGACACGATGTCACTGAGACATTGCCCCTATAAATGCTTAATTTAATCTGTAACAGATTGGGGAGTTAGGGAACACATATCTTTACTGTCACCTGACAGTGTCATTTAGATTGCCTCCCTCCAGACTGAGAAATGACAGACAGAGAAAAACTAATAGAGAGATTACTGATCTCTTCAGAGATATACTGATTCGAAGCATACCTATTATTTGTTCCAAGATGGCTATGGTACACCAACCATAGAGGTACAGTATTACAGCAGCAGTCAAGTGTTACTTTCATTATTTAACCAGCACAAAAGAAATAAAAGCTAATCATCCTGATTTACTGAAGGGTGAAATAAGTTTGCTTTTTTTTTCCAGCTGAAACATATTCACTAAACTTTTAGTACTCCAATGTCTTTCATTTGTTTTTGTTTTTTTTTGTAAAATGGTTAAAAAAACATAAAAAAAATAATGAATTAGCATGCTCTCAGTACACATATATAAAACATGTGAAGATAATTATTTTAATAAAACAACTGTATATAAGAGTTCTGGGAAGGGGTAAGTGGCCATAAGCCACTGACATTTTGTAAATTTTAACTAAATCTGTGCTCTAAGTGCTACAATATTTGCTCATATTTACAATATAAGCATTTAGCATTTGAGGGCTAGTTCACTCCATGTGCGTTCGAACTGCACTGGTTGTTTTTTTCAGCACAGCTGGAATGCAAGACACGGCAATTTGCCTTCTCATGGATGGGCTTTGTTCACACCTCCATGTTCCGGTGGTATCTGATATTTGTGACATTTCAATACAGTTCTACAAAAAATAAAGAAACAGTGTGATGTGGCTTGATTGAGCACATTGGCACTGTTCAGGGAAACACATGCCAGCAGCCGACTGCTGGTTTGACCATACCCTAAAGATGAAATATGAATGTTACACAGAAATAAAAGACAGACATTGATGCAGCTCTGTAGTCATTAACACGTCATTACATTTATTTTGTTAAAGGAGAACTATGGGGTGAGTGTTTTTCCCCATAGTTCTCCTTAGGGTAATGGGAGGACACAAACTAGCGTCCTCCTGTCACCCTAAGCTCAGTATACTGCGAGCTACATCTCATAGTTCTCCTTTAAATGCAAGCAGTACCAAAATCTGACATGGTGTCAGGTTCTTGCAGTCTACCGCCAGTCAGCGCTGGCAGATCGGAGCGGGGAGAGGGGAATCCAGCCCCTCCCCCTGTCACGGCAGAGAGCCGTGACAGGATCGAGAGGTGAGTGAACCCGGTATGTGTTCGCTCACCTCGAGATCTACTGAGCCGACCTGTGACAGTCTCATTGTCATAGATCGGCTAGAACTATGAGGTGAGTGGAAATCACTCATCTCATAGTTCTCCTTTAAATGCAAGCAGTACCAAAATCTGACTTGGTGTCAGGTTCTTGCAGTCTACTGTACAGTCTATACAGCAAAGCTTAGATGGGGGGATAGGCAAATGGAGCCTGCAAGGAGTATACTGATAGGAGAAGAGTGACACAGACATGAGCTTATCCGGGTGATGTTTTTCCTGTCACTGTTCTTTCAAAAGGTGCAAGTAAAAGTGAAAATGCAGCAGAGAAACATCATTTCCCCTCCCAATTGGCAGGGCTGTGTTGTGGATCTGTGCAAAGCTCAGAGATGGAAATCTCAGAGCTGGATGGACAAAAATACAAATCATTTGAAAAGGTAAAGCTCTCATATATGCATTTCATCTGCATATTTAGCTACTTGCCTGGAGTTCGGCTTTAAAGTATTCTACATTTATATCCACTAGTTTGAAAATGTTTCTGAATCTATACATAATGATTGTCCTCATATATCCCACTTCAGGTAAGCACATGTCATAATGAAATATTAATTAAAAGATTTGAGCAAGTAAGTTACTCCAGAATGATAAATTATTAGATTAATTTGAGTTGAGTGATTCTGGAGATTGGACCGTCTGAAAATCCACAATTTCCTGAATTCATAATTTAATACATGCCTTGATTAATTCAGCTGGCACCATAAGTGATTACAAGCAGAATCACTTCAGTGGACTGCAAATGAATTTGGCTGTTAAGTTCCCAAATGATTTTACTTTGCAAGAAATAGTATCTATATTTCTGTGTATCAGATTTAACTACACTTTTCAATCACCAGTACATTTATTAAATTTCATTGGGGGCAACACTTGTGTATAACTGGATGGATTTAAGGTGACAATGTTGTCTACTTTAATTAGATTTAAAGTGGAACTCCAGCCAAAACATTTTTGATAGAGCGAGGAAGACTTAGAAGCTTTTGGTTTTTTTTGCTGTCTGTGTCCTGCTTTTAGGTGAGAGGTGACATTAAATCTTCCAACAAGGGACAATTGCAAAAAATGTAAGCCAGACAGAAAACCTAATCCTTATCCATTCTCCTCAAAACAAAAGTAAAGACAAAACTGTTTTAAACATTACAATTAACCATGTTATTGTTCATGCTCCTAAATAGGTTTCTAAATATATATATATATACATATATACACTATATTGCCAAAACTATTGGGACGCCTGCCTTTACACGCACATGAACTTTAATGGTATCCCAGTCTTAGTCTGTCGGGTTCAATATTGAGTTGCCCCAACCTTTGCTGCTATAACAGCTTCAGCTCCTTTGGGAAAGCGTCCACAAGGTTTAGGAGTGTGTCTATGGGAATGTTTGACCATTCTTCCAGAAGCGCATTTGTAAGGTCAGGTACTGATGTTGGAGGAGAAGGCCTGGCTCGCAGTCTCCGCTCTAATTCATCCCAAAGGTGTGCTATCTGACTGAGGTCAGGACTCTGTGCAGGACAGTCAAATTCCTCCACCCCAAACTTGCTCATCTATGTCTTTATGGACCTTGCTTTGTGCACTGGTGCCCAGTCATGTTGGAATAGGAAGGGGCCATCCCCAAACTGTTCCCACATAGTTGGGAGCATGAAATTGTCCAAAATGTCTTGGTACAAAGGGGCCAAGCCCAACCCCTGAAAAAAAAAACCACACACCATAATCCCCCCTCCACCAAACTTTACAGCCAAGTACCGTTCTCCTGGCAACCGCCAAACCCAGACACGGCCATCGGATTGCCAGACAGAGAAGCATGATTCATCACTCCAGAGAACACGTCTCCACTTCGTCCAGTGGTGGCATGCTTTACACCACTG